GAGAGCTAGATATTCCCGTCTGTACCAACAGCCGGTGTATGATTCTTTTTCTTGCATATTACATGTCAATTATTTTTGGAAAAGAAATTATAAAAACTGATACTCTCATTACGCACTTTTTTCTTATAGTAGCGTATGAACTTACAACTTCATTCATAACGGAAAAATGACGTCATCCTAAGAACGCGATTCATTCATTAAAGGCTCGCGTCAATGACGTCATTTAAAACACGCGACTTGTCTTACATGGGGGGTGTAAGACAGAGTTTTCTAGCACCGGTGTTAACGGTTGATAATCCTGTCTGACATGCAAGAATAATGTTTATGTTTTCCATTGTTTTTTGTTTTTTGTTTTTACCTTAATCAACATCTGTTTTACTTTCAGAAATGTGCTGAAATACTTGACCGGTATAGTTATATTAGCCACTCTGCTGATGGTTTATATGTTCACATACAGCTTCCATATTCGACTATTTCCGGCAGCAGCGGTAACATGGGAACCAGAATTAAGGTAAATTCGTGAAAAATTTACTTAAAATCATAATTTATGTATGCCATGATGAAATTATTTAACGCCGCTTCACCTTAAAGCAAAGACACTTAATAATTAGAGACCTGTTTCTTTGTTCTAATATCTTAAGCGAGCGTTTTTGGTTGATAAAATACTAAAGCATTTATTTAGATTTGTTAGTGCCTATATTATAGAAGGGAAGTGAGAGCATGTCAGTGTATTAGTGGGATTGATAGACAAGAGCAAATTTAATTATGCCCTACCCCCTTAAATGGACCCCCACAAAAAAACAAAGGAAAAAAAAACAAGAAAAAAAAACTACAACGCTAAAGTTTATTTTGGTGGCACATTATATAATGTAGCGTCTACAAACATTTGTTCATTGTCTCCATAATATAATTATTCTGAAGTTGTTCTTGTTTGTAGTTTAAAGCGTTTATCATATGACGTGAGTGACCCACGTGATGCAAGATTTGATAACATTATACTGGAGGAAGAAGCTCTCAAACTCAAACCATGCACGGATGAAAATCTGTCGGCATCGGTGAAGCATTCGTCTCTGTCTTTTATAGGTGAGTACTATTTCGAATAAAACATCAATTTACGATTTTTGTTTGCAAAAAGTAAAACCATCCAAGCTATTTCATCATTGTTATATATAATTACCTTATTTTATTTATTTACTTAAATAATTATTATGAAAGTACACTTAAAGACAAATCGTCTTTATGCGTTAAAATTTCAAATAAGAATTAACTGGGAATAAAGTTGAATTGAACGTTTATAAAAATCTTAATTTTACATATATTTAACAATTTTGTAGAATATAAAGACCAACCATACAATATTGGTGATGAAATCATCACTCTTGTTACAATGAAGGATGGATATGGTAAACGAATAATGTTTGGAGGGGATCAATTAAGAGCAACGATAGAGAACAAACAATTGCAAGCATCCGCTCCCTGTGTGGTCACCGACAATATGAATGGTACTCATTCTGTGGCAGGAACGTCTTCAATAGTCGTAGTTCTTGCTTATCCAAGAGAAATAATTGCGACAAATTATCGTATTAGGACTCAGGTAGGTGTCTTATACTAATAATATGATACTTTTGAAGCAGGGGAATGGTAATAGTCTCCACCCGTCCTTCAGTCCCGTATTTTTTGCCCAGTGTGTTAATCATTAAACCCCTGTCACACGAGGGCGGCGTTCTCACGGCGTCCAAAGAAAATTTAGAACGCCGAGGTGAGCGCAGTATGGTAGAAGCATGGCAAAGAATGCCGACCGGCGGCGCGCATTTTGCGCATGCTCAAAACAAAAGCCGTCACTCGGCGTTCTGATAAGAGCGCGCAATAAGAACGCCGTAGCAACTCAGAAGAAACGCAATAGGAGCGCCGTGAAAGCGCATATGAAGCAGTGGACCTCCATGACGCTTATACGGAAATTGTGCGGCGTCTCTACCCAGCTTAACTGTGTGTGGACGGCGCTTTTACGGAGCTTTTCGATTTATGCTAAATGTGACCGCTGCGAGAGCCCTGTATTCATGAGCGCCGTTAAAATGCAGTGGAAGCGCAAAGAACGCAGCAGAAGCGCATTCCGAACGCATTCAATCGCCCATGTAAACGCCGTGGAAGCTCCGTAGCATCGCCATGATTGCCGTGAAGACGCCGTGAAGTCTCCATGTCAACAAAAATATCACATTTTTATTGCGATGTTAAATTTAACAAAGGCGTGCAAACGCAGTTAAAGCGCAATTTAGTGTGACAGGGTCTTAAAGGAGGAGTGCAGTGTTTAAGAATGATATCTGTTTCCTTTGGAAATCTAAAGTGATTACCCTTTTGATTTTTTTTAAATTGTCCGATGCATTAATTACTTAAAACGTATTTAAAATATCAACTTACATGGAGCTAAATATAAGATGGAGAAGAGACTGTGACGTCACACAGTTAAAATCAATATCGACGGAATTGTGTTCCCGCAAGTTATCATATGTTGCGAATTTCTGCGAGATTTATTGCATTCTGGGTAAATTAGCCAAAATACCGCCATATTGAATTCCCGCATAGAACTCTCCTACAAAATTTCGTATGTACAATCTCAATATCTGCTCCAGCGGGATGACACACATACCCGCACAATGATTAAGAGTACACATTACAAGAGAGTCACAATGATATATCCTTTGGGATACAGGTAATTCTAATTGGTTATAAACAATTTATAAATTATGAAGAAAAAACTGAGCATGTTGAGCGATTCTCTGTTGCGTGCGATTCCAGTTCCCGTTTTTAAACAAAGGAACACCAAGATATTAAAATAACTGAACGATGTCAATACGCGAGTTACATATATAAGTCATATGATGTATGACGACCGTTTTCAAATACTAGTATCATTATTTTTGTTTTACTGACGTTTAATCGAAGTCTCCATGTATTACAATAAGTCAGTACGTCATTTAACATTGATTGTAGAGATTGAGGGTCATTAGCAAATAATGCACCGTCATCAGCGAATAATAATAGAAATACTTTTACGTCAGCAATACTTAAAATATCATTTAAGTGACTATAAATATTTTCTACCATATCATGTAGGAAAAAAGACAGAGTATCCTACTAGCTGGGTCTCCTTGTTTTACTCCAATAAAAGATGTTAAGGGACCTGAATTCATAGACTTATATCGGATTACAGATTTTACAACTAAGTACATGAATTTATTTAAAAGCTGTAAAAGTTTAGTGCTTACATTTGCAGTAATCAATTTTTGCCACAATATTACTCGACCTATTCGATCAAACATTGTTTCCCGTTCTAAGAATGCTCGTACAGTTTCTTTTTCTTTGATAATGTCTTCAATATTATAGCATGAAGAATGAATACACAATCATGTGTTGATTTTGATTTTTGAAAACCATATTGGTTATCTATTAATACTGAATTTTTGTCTGTCCATTTAGTAAGTCTAGCTATTAGCACCTTAGAATAAATTTTAGGTAAAATATTATTCAATGTGATTCCACGAAAATTTTTTGCTTCAGTTGTTCCAATATGGTAATTATAATTTACAATATAGTACGGTATCAAAACTACTCTTCATTTATTGTGGTTATAGCCATTTACACCTGAGTATTCATGGAGCAATATGACTTATTTATCAATCCATCATTCAACATCTTATTTTTATCAAAAGGAAGCATATTTAAATCTTTTACAATGAATGACAAATTTTTACATCGTATTAATCCCTTTATTAATTGACCAATTAAATATTGTCTTATTAATCCTATAATCAGTGTACAGTAAACACCTATGCTAATACCCATGACCTATCCTATTATGTTAAAAGAATAGGGGTTGCAATTTTTGCCCGCTAAGCTCAATAGTAAGAAATCTAAAGATTTCTGGTTTGATCATACATAATGCGAAGTATAATTTCTCCTTCACTATTGATTTCGGATATTGAGTGTATTGGTAATGTGCCTCTCTCACCACTGATTAATAAACAATTTGAGATGAATAGTCGTTCGGTTGCGACAAAAACGTAAGTACTGATTAATTTACAAGGAAAGCCGGTGCCGAGGTATGACCAAGGATAATGTGTTAAAATCGACAAGAAATCCAAACAAGGACAGTCTCATTATCATCTTTTATTGTAATGTAAACATAATTAGTATTTTGGTACTTTTTATTATAGATATAAGAATGGAAATTATTTTAACTTCCAGGTTTTAGCTACGAGAAACATTTATGGGTTATTCAAAAGTCGATCATACAAAGAAGACGTGATTTGTCATCCGAACCATACACACTTGATAAAGAACACAAATTATACAGAACTTTGTAATTTGACTTATATGAACTCCGGTATGCCGTTTTATTGTGGAAAACCAAAGGATGAACATTTGCTGTGCGAAGACTGGGAGCAAGTACAGACGCATACACCTTATCCTGAACTTCAATTGAGTGGTTGTGAGGACACGCTATTAAAAAGGTAATTACGACATTTTTAACAATTTGAAATGTTGGTCAATTGGTTATCTATACTAAATTATTGTGCATCACAAAGTGCTGATTGTTGAATGACTTGTTCTTAACTTGTTATTGTATTGGCAATGATAAAAGGTCAGTGCTCTGCTGGGTTTCCTGCCGGTGTTACTATGTTACTTGCTGGATACATTCATTGAATGTCGACCTTCCTTACTGATCTTAGTTCTCATCTACCAAGTTTATACGGGATTTATTACAAATATTTAAATGGTATTTAATTGAAAAGCATTTTTAAAAAAGTGTTAACTCGCAAATTTGGAAAGGTTGATTGCACCCTTTTAGTGCCGTTTGGTTACACACATGTCCGTTCAAAAATTACTAGCCAAGTCTACTTCAGTCAATGATTTCTGTGTAAATGTTAAGTGAAATTTAAAGCAGAATATGTTACAAATAAACAGAAACAATTTACTTAGTACGATTTTATTATCAATATACCATGCTAACAAATATGTGTGTTTCTTGTAGTTATAAACACTCAGTCCTGGCGACATTTAACATTAATTTTGAAATTGCTTATACATGTATTCTGTTTGAATTATAGAGGCCAACGGACACTGGAACAAAGATTAAATGTTTCGGTAGGAAACGGAGACAAAACAAGACTAACTATTGAAAAGCCAATAATACCTTGTTCACAATACAACATCACAAAACTTTGGCAATCGAGAAAGGCAACAGGGTTTTTCTATAAGGGGAAATGGAACTTCAGAAATTGTTTAGGTAAAATTGATAAATATTGATTATATTTTTTAATGATTGAAATGAAAAAACAACTATATTCAATACTGATGAAGTGAAAAATAGAAGTCTTAAACTCAAAGTTTGATTGAGCTTGTTCATGGACTGTATTTTGTTACTATCTATGACAACTAGTGACTTCTATAACAACCATAGAAAAAAGCCCTTGACATGATTGAAAAACAAACATTTCAATACATAAAGGACATAGCATTAAATATATTAGTGATAACAATAAAGTATCATATATTTTAAAATACACATAAAGGGTAATATCTGTATCATTTATTACTGCAATATGCTAAACAAGGATTGATCTGGCAATATAACGATTTTTGCTATTCACTTTTCAGTCAGAAGTCATTTTTTGCGGTGTATCTAGACAATATCTACATAGATCAAAATTCAAATTTTTTAAACATTTTAACTGTTATATACTATAAAGGAACAAGACAAAAGGTAGGGTAGAAGAATTATTCGAATTATTTGATTTAATAACACTTTATAAGCGCCTTTTAAAACTTATTAATGACCATTTGAAATGAACCTTTTATTACCAGTATCAGTGTACATTTCTCATTATTGAATTTGGAAACAAGACGTATTCTTCACAGTAAATCAACAATTCTGTCAAAAAAATGAGAATAAAAAAATCGAAGCAACGTGTGTTTAGAATAGTATGAATAAATGAAATAAATAGTTCAGAATAATTCAGATTAACGGAATCTTGTCGGGCCGAGATGCCTTATTGGTATGAATTGTGTTATTGTTAGTAACGACGAATGCTAAATTGATAGAAAATATTAATTTTATATGTGATTGTAAAAGAGTGTTAAATTTTTTAACGCATCCAAATTATTTACAAAGAAAAAATAGGATAGAAAAAACGTATATAAAGGAAATAAGCATGATGCATGTTTTCGAATAGGAGATTAGCATTATGTATGTTTCCGTATAGGAAATTAGCATGTATAGGAATTTAGCAAGATACACGTTTCCGTATAGGAAATAAGCACGATGCATGTTTCCGTATAGGAAATAAGCATGATACATGTTTTCGTATAGGAAATTAGCATGATGCATGTTTCCGTATAGGAAATTAGCATGATGCATGTTCTCTTATAGGGAATTAGCATGATGCATGTTTAAATTAAAATAAGCTTTTACTTATGTGCTAGAGTTTGATAGTTTGAGATGAATGCGATGAACATGATTATGCTTCGTAATTTAGAAATAGCATTTCATTATCGTTGTATTTCATTTTATTGTCGTTCCATATTCACAAAATGTGGAAAAGGAAACATAGATAATTGTAAGACTTGTTCTAAAGTGAATAATACTAAGAAGTATAATGAAATAAATTCGCTTCTTTTAATTAACAGGTTTCCAGCAAACCCACGACGTCAACTGCTTAAAGGACAGTCGTTTATACTTAATGGGTGATTCGACTTTAAGGGCATGGTATGCAAGTATTATCAAACGTTTTAAATGTCTCCCAACAACAGAAAAATGGCAGAATGAAAAATGGCACAAGATGGCGGAGTGTTTAAATAAGAAGCTTAGTTTTAAAGCAGGATGGTACCCACATGCGCAGCCATTTTTTGTTGGCCAAGGTTGGGATGATGTTCGGTACACATTATATTCAACGTCTCGGCGTATAGACAATATACCACTAAATGAACGAGCAATAATTGTTATTCAACTATATTTGCATTTTGTAGCATTTCATCATAGTGTCTTTAAGGAAAGAATGGCAATAATACGTCGAAGTATAGAAAGACTCTTTTTAAAGAATAAAAAAGCTATTGTAATGATTAAAGGTCCACATACATTTACAAATACACCAGCTGGAAGTGTAAGACTTAGTGATTATTTTGGTTTCGTATATAGCAAAATCATTTATGAAGTATTTGACGGTTTACTTGACCGGATTGTTTTGCTAAATAACAAAGACACTACCATAGCGAGGCATGAAAAATGGAATCATCCGCCAGACGATACTGTGAATTATATGATAGATCAGATGCTAGATTATACTTGTACAAATTAAGTTATAGAAATGTTTTAGTCATATGATTATTAATGAAAATAACGTGTCTTTTGTCATGAAAGTTGGTGTTTCTTTCATATATCAAATGCTAAGCTATGTTTGTAACTTCAAGCATCCTGCATTAACTAACAGTTCTTACTTCTACAACGAATGATAAGTTCTTCTAATGAAAGTAACGATTATTTTATGAATTACTTTAGTTGTTTTTATGAAAGATGTAATTTTGTTAATAAATCAAAATAAAAATCAAGATTTTTTTTTTGACAAATTGAATGCGATAAATGGATTCCCTTTAGAACGACCAAAACGGCAAAATTGAAAATATGGCAAGCTCGATTTGATTGAGCCAGCTCGGTTTGATTGTTTGATTTAGCCTGTCCATGAAATTGACTGCAAGTTACCTACAATGCCATCTTGCACCAGTTTCATCAGAATACAACATTAAAACATGAAAATGGTAAAATTTTGAAATTAAAATCACCACAGACGTTTTTATATTTTTGAAATAATTGAACCTTCAACGCGTTTGACATATCCATGCCATTACATGAAAAGCGGCATATGATCCCAAGTAAAAGAATGCGCGTGCTGTAAACGAAAAACAAGTGAGGTTTCATGCAAGCGTAAAATGGCTACAAATGAATTGGTTAAAAGGAAAGGAATACGTCAAGATATAAGCCAAATGTTACATAAAGAAAGTTGCGATGATGTGATAATCATGTTATGTCATAAAAGTAGCCAAATATGATAGTAACTAATCTTGAGTTCCGTCCAAATACAAAATTACCATAATTAACATAAAAAATACCATGCCCCTAAATCATCGGCTGATTGTGGTGTAGTTATGTCTTTAATATCTGATAATGTTGGCTTTTTGTTGTTTTTTTTTGTTGTTGTTGTTGTTGTTGTTGTTGTTGTTTTTGCCACGCGAGTCCATTCTTCCGGCGTCCTTTTGCGGAAATCGTATGAAAAATTCCATATCTGGTCTGTCAGTGTATCTCGAGTCACTTCTACATGTACCATAAGCACAGTGTTTAGATGTCCCTTTCCTTTTAACACTAAATTCGATTTTCAACTTGTTTTCCTCTTATACTTGTATATAAAAAAATCTTAAAATAAATTGCGTGTAAACAAATGTATGTTATCGCTTGTCTAAAGTCAGCGGTGATTGGGTAAAATCTATTTAGCTTTAAGGCGAAGCGTTCTCAATCAAAGCTTAATTCTGTAACGTTGCAGCACTTGGTTTCGTCTAATTTCTTCGCTGTGTATCTTTTTAAATTTTCCGTGTAAATTCGAAAATACGTCTGTGCGGGTAATAGCGAGGGAAAATAAGTAAAGTAATTAAAAATTACAACGATCTGGAATATACTCTAACCATATATGGTTGCAGTTTTGCAGAAACAGTTCCCCTTGAAATAGATGGACAACGTGTGTGGCGCCGTTATATGTCGCAACGCCGCTAAATGTCGCACTTGCCGCTAAATGTCGCACCATTGACGCTAAATGTCGCAACCGCCGCTAAATGTCGCAAAACCATTTGACGTTAAATGTCGCAATGTTAACGTTAAATGTCGCACGAATTTCCCTTACCGTTAAATGTCGCAACACTACCGTTAAATGTCGCAAGATGTAATTTTATGTTGAACTCAAGTTTTATTGTTGTATCATATTAATTAAATCTGCCTACTCAATTTGAAAGCGAGTGAATTTATTATATATAGAACTGCGCTACAATTTAGGCGGCGATAATTGGCGTCCGCGCTGAAGCGCGGCGCCCCTTTATGGAATGAAATCAGATTTTGTGAAAGGGCGACAGCAACTTCTCGAGCCTTTAAGTCGGTCATAATAAAAGCCGATCATTCCGAACGGTATGAAGGTGCTTGATTATTAATTAATCAGTGGTACAATGAATAGCGAACTTGCAAAAAATTTCAAATGAAATAACCTTTTCCGTCAATAAATCGCGCTCTTCGGTTTTTTTTTATTTACACAGTGGGTTATTATGGAATGTTATTGTTGTACATTTATCCGAAAGCTGTAAATAGAATGATGAGTTGATGACCTAAATATTCCGAAAATCTATTTATAGAGGGATGTGCTCCTATCGGTAATTCCCGGTCTCTCCCGGTCTATTTTGACCGGGATTTACTAGTGACCGTTTATTGTCCGGTCTCTCCCGGTTTTGGAGTAGATGTTTGATATAGTTACAGAACAAAACAAATATTTTACAGATAAATAAGCTTTTTTTCCAAAATGAATGTTTGTCAGTTAATTTGGTTACAATAATTCATGAACACAGATCAACTCTCAAATTTATTGATTTTTATTATACATAAACATACAATTCGAAAAAAAACAAAAACAACAAGAGCAACAACAATACATGTTTCATTTTATCTATATGAGATAAAAACAATAAATATGTACAATAATTGAGAAAAGGGTACATTTTTATGGTAATAATACGACACTATCAACTTTGAAACATTTTATTTAATTTGTTATTCGTTGTTAGTAAAGATGCCGAGGAATTATTCAAAGTTACAAATTAGATTTTATGAATTATTCATTTGGTTGATAATTAAAAAATGATAAAGAAAAAAACAAATGTACATGGTTTAAGAATATAAGAATAAACAATATTATATATTGAAAGATTAACCATTATTTACTGACTTTTTCCAGTTAATTTTTGACTTATAATCGTCGGTCAATATGACAATTGAATTCTTAAAATTTATTTTACAACTTAAATTAAAAAAAGTAAGTAAACATAAAAAAGCGCATAAAACACAAAAAAGAAAAGAAAACAATATTCATAAAATCTGTAATTTTTTATCAAAATTAATATATATTACATTTATTGTATAATAAACAATTATGCTTAACATGATCAACATGGTAATATAACCAGTGTCATATTTTTACTAAGTGTGAATAGATACTTTAAGAGGGGGTCTTCGCTAATAGCGATAACATAATAAGGGACAATTACACAAGTGTGGTGTTGATCATGCGTTACACATATGGATTGTAAATGATTGTTTACATGTATATCCGTTGCTCGCCCATATGGTCTCTTTCCAGTGGCGAGGGTAAACAAACGCAAACACACAAAATCCGTTGCTATTAATAACCACGGTCATAAAGAAATAACAAGTAATATTCTAATCTCTAGCATGCCAATCAAAGTTCATAATGAACAATGTCTTTCGTCCACTCATTCATAAGTGATATACAATTCTGCTAAAAACCATTGAAAAGATTATAAGAATATCTCGTCATCATATGTCTACTAGTTCATCTTCACTTGCTGCATTTCTTGCTTGGACGCCCTTTGATGCTTTGCATCAATGCTTTTCTTGTACTCATCTTGTAAATAAATGTATATTGTTTTGCGTTCGATTTTTAGCTGATCTTATGCAAGTACATATTGATAATTATACAATTGTCTACTATTTGTATGAAACTGCAAAATTGGCATTGTTCTGTAAATAGTTTAGTACAATTGTGTCTGTAAAAAGGCAGAAGAGACAGGCTGCCTGAGGTGGCAGTCTGATGGCCTAGTTGACTGAGGAGGCAAATTGTCTCGCTGTCGGAAGAGGAAGCCTTAATTGCTGACGACCTGGACCTTAAGAGTTTGCCTAACGCCCTGTAAGCCTAACGTTGGTAGCCTAGTATCCTGAGGAGGCCGCCTAACAGCCTATCGATGTCAGCTTTGCATGAAGTTGGCAATCTAACAGCTTAGAGTCGGCAGCCTAGTAGCTTAAAGTTAGTGACTTATATTATAAATATGTAAACAATTTAAAATACAGTAAAATCACTATGAAAGGTCATGCAAAAGCACATGCACATGCATGATTATGGAAAAAACGCCTTTACCTTTAGGGCACGTAACTTTGTAGTCTAATAGCCTAAAGCTGGCAGTCTGGGAGCCTGGCAGTCTAAAATTGGTGTCATGTTTTAAAAAAATGGAACGATCAAAATAATAAAACGGCAAGTTGGATTTTTCCCAAAATCTACTAATACAAAGGGCTTCATAATTTACAAATTTATTAATCAATAGAATAAACTTGATCATGGCAAGTAACATAATTATTGCATAAATTTTAATCAAGTTATTGCCATTTTCAGCAGTTTGAGAATGAATATCGTTAACCTAAACCGGCAAGTTGGATTTACTTAAGTACTGTCTATATACTTTAAATATGGCTTCATTATTTCCACACTTATTTAGAAAAAGTTCATGATATTGCCATCCATTTTCCCAAGTTATATTCCTTTTTTTTTCACTTTGAAAATAGGACCTTGTATGGTTAACCTATTCCGTAAGTTGCATTTATCTTAAAAATTTATTTAATGATATCTTCCATATCTGGTAGATGGATACCATTAATGGTCGTGTATTTTTTATGGAGAAAGGGGTCTCTAGTGTAAAGGTCACTTGTGCGAATTTTTTATAACATTTTTGCTCATTAAGCCTTTATTGTTAAGATTATGTATTTCATGTTTAGTACAAACATGCCAAGGGAGGTCCTCTTCCTTTGGGTTTAGTTGGGGGTAAAGGCCAAAGTCACCAATGCCAAAAATAATTTTTAACATTTTTACAGGTGTTTTAACATTATTCTTTTGAAAGATTTCTTTATATTTGGTAGGAACATGGAATTGAGGTATTCTCCTTTGGATGGAGTTATGGTTCAGTTGGGTCAATGTCACCAGTTCTAAAATAGATTTCTACACTTTTACAGCCTTTATTTATTGACAAATGTATTTCATATTTGGAAGGTAGATAACTTGCTTGGTATTCTTTCTTTATATTGAGGAAGGGATCAATGGGCCATGGTCACAGATGTTAAATAGATTTTAATTTTGCAGGATGAAGTTCACACAAACAGTTTATGCTTCTATCAAATTTGCTAGTCGTATGCGTGTTTTATTTCCATTTTAACGCCAGAAAGGCAGTGGTCATTCATATTATTGTTGCAATAAATTAAAAAGATGTTTTCTTTACACATCTGTTCCATTTTTTTTTTTTTTTTTGAAAATAAAAGTCTTAAAATTATCTTTAAATAGATACACTATTGTGCGTATGTTTGTATTTATGGTCATTTGAACTTCACTATGACGTACTCGACATGCGCATTTTAGGACGAACATAAAAGTGGTTACAGATATCTCACCAATATCGTCGTTTCATATGTACGAGTATAATTCATGTCTTGTGTTTTTCGAAAAATGTCAGATTT